CCTCCAGCTGCCCTAGGCCCTCAAACGTCTTCTCTGCCAGCTGCCGGATGCGGTTGTGCCCCAGCTGCAGCTCTTCCAGGAAGTGCAGGTCCTTGAAGGTGCGAGGCCGGAGGCTGCCAATGGCATTGTGTGCCAGGCGCAGCACGTGCAGGCCCAGCAGGCCAGGGAAGGTGTCCTCTGGGAGGCTGGCCACACGGTTGTGCGACAGATCCAGCCAGCGCAGCGCCCTCATGCCCAAGAAGGCTCCAGGGGCCAGGGCTGTGATGAGGTTGCGGTCCAGGTGGAGCTTTTGCAGCCGGGGCAGCTTCACGAAGACGCTGGCCTTTATGCTGCGCAGTGCGTTCCTGCTCAGATCCAGCTCCCGCAGCTCTCCCAGGCCGCAGAAGAGCGCCGGCTGCAGGTAGGCCAGCTTGTTGCCAGCCAGCACCAGCTCACGGAGGCTGCCCAGGCCCTGGAACACCGTGTCAGGCAGCACAACCAGGCTGTTCCAGCCAAGGTTGAGGTCCCAGAGATGCGGGAGGCCCTGGAAGAGGCCCTCCTCCAGCCTGCCGAGCAGGTTGTTGCCGAGGCTGAGCGAGGCCAGGCTGCGTGTGTGCACGAACGAGCCAGCTGCCAGGCTCCGCAGCTGGTTCCTCTCCAGGTGAAGGTGGTACAGGTTCTGCAGGCCCAGGAGCGTCTGTGGCTCCAGGCCACTCAGACGGTTGCCCTGCAGGTTGAGGAAGTCCAGGTTGGACAGGTTCTGGAAGGCCGCTGGGGGGATGGAAGAGAGGTTGTTGCCATCAAGCCACAGGGCCCTGGTGCCATCTGGGATACCGATGGGCAGGTGCGTGAGGTTCCTCGAGCTGCAGAAAACGTTGAGCTCCCCCGTGTCGTCCTCATAGCTGCAGATGCAGATGGCCGGGCACTGTGGGCCCTCGGTGTCTGCCAGCACTCTGGGCTCTGCTCCACCCAGGCCACAGGGGCCCAGTGCTGTCCAGGAGACCAGCAGTGCCACCAGGGCTGGGCCTCCTGTGGGGAGAGGGGATCTGGCAGGGTCCCCCAGAGGTGAACAAGACCCCAAACTTGCTCAGACCTCAGCTATAGCAAGAGGAGGGTCATACTTATAAACTGAGACATGGTCACCCCACTTAAATACCAGAGACTAGCTGGTGGCCAAGCTGGCTCAGGAGCTGACTGCACTTGCCACCCAGGAGGCCGGCAGGTGGCAGTCCCTGACTCAGCTCCCCAGCTTCTCCCAGGCCTCATGGGCATAGCCCCTCGAGCCATGTGGCATCCATGTCCCTGAGGCATGTGCTTGAGCAGAGCCAGGCTGCCACACTGGCCCAGAAGAAGGTAGAAGAAGCCATCAGCCAGGATCTGACTGATTTTGGAATATTCTGCAGATGACCCAGACGGGGTGTCTACTTGTTGCCCTCTGTGGCTCGACAGTGAGCCAGATACCCCTACATGAGGCCCCGAATTAGGGGGCACTGCCCACCTGTTCCCCAGTTTGTACAGCCTGCATGTGGGCCTTTACCCACATTGACAGCAGGACACAGGCCTCACAGCAGAGGGGGACCCAGACTGTCCACTACCCAGGCATCAGGCCCCACTGGGCCAGATAGCAGCCTCCCCAACAAGAGTACCCAAAATCTCCTACTGGGTCCCTCCTGTCCCTGCCCTGAGAGCTCCAGGTCCCAGGTGGGGTCAGAGGCAGCACATCAGACCCCCACCTCTTGCTCCTCTGCTGTGATGCGGAAGAGGTGGCCTAAGGTGGTCCCAAGTGCCGGCTTGCTGGGGGGCTAGTCCAGGTACCCCACAGAGACAGGCAAGGAGCAAGGCAGTCTCCCACCCACCCAGAGCCAGGACCAGAGAAGAACGGAGGCTGAGAGGGCAGTGGGCTCTGGTGGGTGGAGGGTCCCAGGCAAACCCCCCATTTGGGGGTGTGAGGAGACCTAGTTCCGTTCCTGCACCACTGTGCTGGAGCTGAGCGCCATCCCTTCCAGGCCCATCTGTGCTCCCCTCCCACTCCTGAAAGTCCCCACAAGCCCTCCCAGAGCTGAGCCCTGCACTCTCCCTGTGGCTGCCCCACAGGGAAAGTGGCTGGGGGTCACCAGCTGGCTCTCCCCAGAGCAAGTGGCAGGGGACGCTGGGTGCCTCACCTTCCCCGCAGGCCATCCCGCGTGAGAGCAGGCTGCAGCAGGCAGTGAGCAAGGACAGTCTGCTGGGCCGGCTGCCCCTGCCCTGTGTTTCCCCACGGCAGGGACAGCCCGCCAGCCAGCCCTGCCCCAGCCCCTTTAACCCCCTCATGCCGGGCAGCCAGTGTTAGTCCAGATCCCCTGGGTCAGAGAGTGCAGGGAAGTGGCTGGGGCCTTGTCCACCCTGAGGCCTCCTTCAGGATCTGAGGTGGGCTGTGGTGCTGCTCTGGGGGCCATCAGGTCCACTGTGTGCCCCCCATAGGTGGGCTGCGCCCAGAGGTGGGGGTAGGGACACCCTGACAGCAGCCTTTGAAGGGCTGGTGCTCAAGACACGCCTGGGGGACCCAATGCCTAGCTCCTGATACAAGCATGGGCCCTTGGGCAGCTCCTGGGGCACCAGGGACCCCAGGGTCCCCTGAATCTGCCTGACTGTGTTGGGTTAAACCAGTGCCACCTCATTTCCCACTGCCCCGCCCAGCTGCCCAGCATGCTGCCTGCCCTGGGGTCTCCTAACAGCCTGAGTGGGCCTTTGACTGCCTTGCTCCTTGCCTGCCACATTGCATTCGCATTCCAGGCCCAGGGGCTGTTTGGGGTCCAGGCCCAGCCTCAGCCCCACCTGTGACCTCAAGGTCAGCTAATGTCTGACCACTGCTCCTCCCCCAAAGCCTCTTCTAGGAACACCTGGCAGGGCCACTGGCCACCTTGTGTTTGCCTCCTCTGGCACTGTCCTAGGAGAGGCGGGCAGGGAAGACAGTGGGGCAGCCTGGCCTCTGAGTCAGGTCTTGTGGCCCAGCGGTCAGCCTCCACCTGCCCCCTACTTCCTGCAAGTCTCCAGCAAGGGCCTGGTCACCCCTCAGTCACCCCATTGTATGCAGACCACAGGGACGGGTACCTGGTGCCTGGCCTGCTAGAGGTCACCCCTGGGTGGTCAGGCTTTGCTCCACTCCCTGGCTTCAGGTCCCTCTTCCAGAGCCTGGTGGGTGTGGCCTGACCCACACCCCATGGCCTCCAGAAGACTCTCTTCAAGACTCTCCACCCTGCTTGGAACAGTGGGAATGAGGATGCACAGAAAGTGCCAGAAAAGGCAACACTAGGGCTGCAGAGGGGCTGCTCGGGGGGCTTAGGGCTCTCTACACACGTGCCTCCTTGTGAGGTGGGAAGAGGCCGACCAGGTCAGACAGTGGGGAGCAGGGCACTGCAGATCCTACCTGTGCTGCCCTGTCTCCAGGGATTTTCCAGTTCATTCCTCAACCTCTCTTCTGAGAAATTATAGATCCACAGGGAGAAAGTCCATGCCTGGAGCCCAGAGCGCAGTTTACACAGCCAAAGTGCGGCCTCAGCAGGCCTCTGAGGCCAGCGGCCGAGGCCTCTTCTGAGAGCCCCACCCTGGCTCCCAGGTGGATTTGGAAAGACGAGTCAGTGTCACTGTGGTTTACTTTGGGAGAGGAGGGGCTGGGATCTTCTTGTCCACTGAAGGCCAGCTTTGTATGGTGGGGACACCCCAATCAGGATTTTGGTAGCTGGGTTAGGCCCACATCAGCCTCTCAAATTCCGCGGCCACACAGGGGTATGCATGACACACTGCTCAGCCCCTGGGCTCTGCAGAAGATGCGTACCCTGCCCCGGCATGGCCCTGCTCCTTGGCAGCCGCTCTGGGCCACTAGAGCATGTCCCTGACTTGAGATCAGGGCTGTCTTTGGCCCTCAGGTGTGTGGTGACGCTAAGCATGGGCTCTGGCTTCCTCTGACATCAGAGGAAGATGCCTCTGCCTGTGTGGGATGGTTCCCAGGCAGTTCCCAGCAGTGCTTCCATGGCCAAGGGCTGTGAGTCCCGTGGGGTGCACTTGCAGGGTTCTGGGTGGTGCAGACCCAAGCACCCCCATCCTCAAAAACGCCTCCAGAGGTCTTTGTGCTTTGCTGCTGGCAAGTGAAGGGTAGCACTGTGGCTTTAATGTGCTGTATCAGTCCCCAGGGGACCCAGCACCTTTCCAGAGGCTGGCTGGCCCTGGAAGCCGCCATGTGGGCGTGTCTGCTGGGCCATCCAAGATGTCTTTGAAAGCATGCTAGCATCTTCTCTGGCACTGTGGCTTGGCTCATGCTGGTCACCATGGTGAGAGCTCCTGGTTGTCAGGCAGCCCCAGATCTCAGGTTGAGCTCCATCCCTGCAGCCCTACAGGACACAGAGGGCTGGTTCCACAGCGTCTGTCACCAGTCTGTCAGGTCTGGGGTTTCAAGTCCTTGAACACAGACTGGACTCTGTTCTCAAGGTGTCTCAGCTGCGGTCCACCTGAGCCTTAACCGCGGTCTGCTGCCACTGTCCCCACATGGCTCAGGTGGCTTCACTGCTCCTCCAGGACTCTAGTCACTCCCTTGGGGTTTGCATCCCTGCAGCAGCAGCCCCCTACCATGGGCCCCTCCATAGGTTCTGACTTGGGCAGGCAGGTCCTCCTTCAGGGGGTACCTTGGGCCACAGCTGGGCTGTGATCTCCCCACAGGGGATTCTGCAGTGTCTCTATTGTGACCTGTGTGTGCTCTTTAGGTTCTTTCCTGTTGTCATTACTTTGGTCCTGGGGACTGAACCCAGGGGTATTCTACCACTGAGCCACACCTCCAGCATGGCTCAGTGAAACAGGGTCTCCCTAAGTTGCTTAGACTGGCCTTAAATTTTTTTTTTTTTTTAATTTTTTTTTTTAATTTTTATTTTTTAGTTTTCGGCGGACACAACATCTTTGTTTGTATGTGGTGCTGAGGATCGAACCTGGGCTGCACGCATGCCAGGCGAGCGCGCTACCGCTTGAGCCACATCCCCAGCCCCAACTGGCCTTAAATTTTTGAGCTTTCTGCCTCAGCCTCCAAGGTGCTGGGTCCCAGGTGTGGTTGCCGTGCTGGGCTGGTTGTTTTTGACACTCTCCGGTTATCCTTTTCCCTCCTTAACTTCATTCTCTGTCAGGCTGAAACGCTCTTCTAGAGCGTGTTGGGGTGACTTGAACATTGCTGAGCATTGCTGTCCTCCCCTGCATCTTTCCTGACATGGCTCTGTGGTGTGTGGATCCTGCGCTCAGAGCTTTTCCCAGGCAAGCGCACCAACAGCAGCCCCAGCAGATGCATGGACCACATGGAGTGGCCAGTCCAGCTGCAGGACATCCCTCATGCCCAGCTCCTCCCATGGGGCATGTCCTGGAGGTCCACACGTGCTGGTCATGTGTCTGTGCTCTGTCCTTGTTGTGGCCAAGCTGTCCTCTCAACAGTGGCCTTCCAACCCATGAGCACACTGCCTTCCCTTCACTTAGATTTTTATTTTGGTGATGCAGAGAGTCAGAGCCAGGACCTCACTCATGCATGCACGCCAGCCGGGCAAGTGCTCTACCACTGAGCTACAGGCACATCCCCAGAGACTGGGTCTCACTAAGTTGCTGAGGTTGGCCTGGAACTGGGAATGCTCCTGCCTCAGCCCTGCCAGGCACTAGGATCCCAGGTGTGGGACTGCACCCAGCTCTGACTTAGATATTTAATAGCTCTCTGCTAAGTTTCAGTTTATGTAGTTTTCAGCATATGAACTGCTGTGCTCAAGTAGTTCCTAGGTATTTTACTAGTTTTCATGCTATTGTGAATGGAATTTTCTTAATTTTATTTTAGATATCTAGTATACAGAAATGAATTTGGTCAGGCATAGTGGCGTAACTATAATCTCAGCTACTCGGGAGTCTGAGGCAGGGGATCACAAGTTCAAGACCCCCAGGAACTCGGTGACACCCTATCTCAAAACAAAAATGGGGGGCTGGGGCTCAGTGGTAGAGCATCCCTGGGTTCAGCCCCTCGTCCTAAAAAAGTGAATTAATCTTTTTAAATTTGTTCTTTTTAAATTTGTGGCAGTAGAGTGTATGTGACGTATTTCACATACGTGGAGTGTAACTTGTCTAGTTAGGATCCCATTCTCGTAGCTGAATGTAATGTGGAGTCCCCTGGCCCTGGACTCAGGTAGGTGTGAGCTGATCTTTGCTGATGGCATGCCCCAGGCCTCTACTCGATGTCCTCTGGCCTTGCTGCCTGCGGGGCCCTCTGTGATGGGGCTTTGCCCTTCCCTCCCCACAGGTGGGCCGCCCGCCTGTCTCCCCTGTGCTCCTGGCAGGCAAGGCCCGGGCTTCGCCAGGGGCAGGGTGTGGTCCCAGCCTCATTCAGTTCAGTCACCTGCCATTGGCTGCAGTACCAGAGTGTGCTTTTCGTAAACACAGCAGGAGGGTAGATCTTGTTCCCCACCAGTGACGTCCATGTCCTGATCCCTGAGCCTGTGGCCACGTGAGGTTTCACTGCAGACAGGAGTGGGGACTGCTCTCCACTGACCTCGATAGAGTATTCAGGGCTCTCTGGATGAGCCCAGTGTAATCATTGGCCTGGGAAGCAGAAGAGGCAGAAGGCGGTGTATAAGAGGCAAGGTCAGGGCTGAGCTGCTGGTGCTGGCACTGCAGATGGCAGGAGGGGCCTTGTGTCCAGGAATGCTGCAAGCATCCTGGAGCCTGCAGAAGGAACCTGCCCTCCTGACACCTTGATCCAGCCCAGTGAGGGGCCCACATCAGCTTCTGGGCTCCAGGACTATGTGATAAACCTGGTGATGTGTGGCAGCAGCAAGAGACAGAGGTCCTCAGGGCGGAGAACTCTCCTCTCCTGTTTAGTGAGGGGTCTCGCCACCATCAGGCCCTGTTGCTGCCTAGCACTTACCAAGGCGCGCTCCAGCCAGCCAACGGCTGCTTCCTGGGGCGAGTCCTGCTGGGTCATGGCGTGACCCCCGCTAGCTGAGACTTCATCAAGAGATCTTCCTATCTGTTCCTGACAGAAATCGATTTGTATTTGGTGCACGATGCCTTTCTCTGGCTTTGGTCCCAGGTGAGATATCAGCCTCGTAAGGAGAGTCAGGGCTGTTCCCTCCTGTGTGTCCTGGAAACTATGAGTGATGGTCTTATCCACAGAATGTGGCGGGAAGCCATGTGGAAGGTTGAAGGCTTCCCAATTCAGTTTCTTGGTATAGATCTATTCAGATATCATTGTCCCCCTTAAGAGGCAGGGTCTCGCTAAGTTGCCCAAACTGGCCTCAAACGCCTGAGCTCAAGTGAGTCTCCTGCTTCAGCCTCCCAACTTGCTGGGGCTACAAGCACAGGCACCATGCTGTTTCATTGTTTCTCTTTAGTCAATTTGTGCTAAGAACTTGCCCATTTCATCTGATTATTTAGTATGGAGTTTTCCTCTTATTCCCTCATAAGCCCTGTCAACGTCTGTAGAATCAAGTGATTTCTCCTCTTACTCATGGTTTTCGAAATTCTGGCCTCGTTTTGCTGGCCGGTCTAGCTAAGGGTTTGCCATTGTGTGGACCTTTTCACTTGCTTGTCTTTTCTGTTTTCTATTTACTAATTTGCTCCTTCCTTGTGATTCCTTGGGTTTATTTTCTAGCTTCTTAAGTGTAGCCTACATTCCTACTTGAAAACTCCTTTCTTTTCTCCAGTTGGTGCAGGGTTGGGACCACCCTCTGCATACTAGTTGGCTGTGCCTAGTTTTCCTGTTCACCACTGGCCCAGATGCTATTTAGAAACGTTTTATTTAATTTCCAAACACTTGGTATTTTTCTGAACTTTCTATTGCAGACCTCTAGTCCTGCTGGGTTAGAGGACAGCACACACTTTATGTTAGTCCCTCCTCAGCCCCCCAAGTCACGGGGATTGCAGGTGCACACCACCAGACCCGGCTGCAAATGAACTCTGACCCCAAGGTGGCGAGGAGGCAGAGAAGGGGTCTCGCGTCCTGCCTCTGCTGTCAGTGGACTCCCAGGCATGTGTGGGTCTGAGCAGAGGTGACCCTCCTTCTGAACCCCAGACTGCTGAGGGATGGATCACAGGATCAGAGGGAGCAGTACTGGGGAGGGAGTGTGGAGGCAGGGCCAACCTCTTGCTGTCACCAGTCCCAGGCCAGGCTCTGCTGGATCCTCCAGGTTCTGACTCCTGCCCGACCTCGGGGGAAGCCTTCTTCCCAGAATCCCCACTTGGCATGGTTTGGCAGACTGATGAATGACAGCTTCCAACTATTAGAGGAATAGGTAAGCAGCACTGTAAGTATGCAAATGCCTCTGGACTGTTTCCCTTCTTCTTTGGGGTGTGCGGTACTGGGATGGCACCTGGGGCCTTAGGCGTCCAGTCCCAGAACCCTATTGGTGAGCCACACCTCAGTCCCCACACTGTGCAACTTAAACAGCTAATTGTGCTGGGCACAGTGGTACATAAACCAGCTGCTTAGGAGGCTGAGGGAGGAGGATCACAAGTTTGAGGCCAGCCTCAGCAATTTAGAGAGACCCTGACTCAAAATAAGTTCTGGGGATTAGCTCCGTGGTAGAGCACTCTTGAGTTCAACCACCAGGACCACCACCACCACCCCCCCAAAAAAAAAAAAGTGGGGGCTAGGGTTGTGGCTCAGTGGTAGCGTGCTTGCCTAGCATGCGTGAGGCACTGGGTTCGATTCTCAGCACCACATACAAATAAATAAAATAAAAGTCTGTCAACAACTAAAAAAAATATTTTTTAAAAAAGCTAATTTGGGGCTGGGGCTGTGGCTCAGAGGTAGAGCATGTGTGAGGCACTGGGTTCTATCGTCAGCACCACTTAAGATAAAATATTGTGTCCATCTATAACCAAAAAATATTTTTTTAAAGTTAGTTTATGTTATACAAATTTTACCTAGATGAAAAATGAGTCTTACATTTGATTAGCAAGAAAGTTACTAAGATCCTGAGTGATCTTTTACCCAGCAGATGCCTTCCATCCCACGGTCTAACCTTCTCCCTGACGGGCACTTTTCCAGGGACACCCTGATTCTGGAGGTGCTGGGAAGAGTGCGTTGTAACGTGTGCGGCCTGGATGGTGAAAAGGTGCGGGAAGGGCTCCCGGAGCCCTGCTGAGCTTGCCACCCTCCAGTGGAGGCTTCTGGGCACCTCCCCTCTGGCAGGAAGGCCTCGGAGCCACATCGGGGCTAACAGATGCCTGAGTGCCGGTTCCCTGGGGAACAGAGAGGCTCGGGGCTCAGCAGCGACCACACCAGAGCACTGCATGGCGAGAGCTGTGCTCCGTGGGAGGCAGGAGGGGCACTGCCCAGCCAGAAGGCGAAGGCGCCTGGCCCTTGGAGGAGCCTCACCCTCAGGTCTGTCATTTCTGAGCCTCTGGCCCACATCCCAACTGCTCACCAGAAAGACAGAGCCAGGGAGGAGAAGGGGCTGGGACGGTCCTTTCAGGGGCCAGTGGGGCAGGACCCTTGGCCAGGAGCTTCCAGTGGTGAACGCGAGGGGTGGAGGTGACAGTAGCTAGTTTCCACAGAGGGCCCCCAACTGGCCCTGACGTCCTCTGTGTGAAAGCTGTGATCCTAAGCCTGCGTCCTCTGTGGCTAGAAGTGCAGGTGGCTTGGGCCTTAAGCTTGTGGCTTGTGTCCGCGGTGAGGGCAAACTGGTGGGGACTGTGCCCTCAGCCCGGGGTCCCACTCACTGGGTAGCAGACACCAGGCCTCATGCAGTAGAGCAGCAGCAAAAAGCCAGCTGGACAAGATCACTTACAGCTTGGACTCCATGCTGCCAAAGCCCCTCCCTGGCCTGAGCCAGCGCGATGCCAGTCCTGGTCTCAGAGGTGAAGGTCCTGATGTACACAGAGGGAGCAAGGGACCAGCCGCCCAGGACCCTGCCCCGTGCAAGGGGAGCCAGTGTGCTTCTCTGGCGACGAGGGGGACGACGAGGAGGACGTGGCACTGGCACAGGACAGCCAGTCAAGCCTGCTGCCAGAGTGTGGGCACGTGAGGCTTTCACACCGCAGAGGCTGGCAGAACGGGTGGGCAGGCACCTGGGTACCCATCCCCTGTGGGCAGGAGAGCCATTTTCAAGGGAATTTTGTTGTTGTCACTAGGAATTTAACCCTGAGGCACTTTACCACTGAGTCACACACACCCAGCCCTTTTGATATTTCTTGTTGAAACAGGGTTTTGCCAAGTTGCTAAGGCTGGCCTTGAACTTGAAATCCTCCTGCCTCAGCCTCCTGAGTCACTGGGATCACAGGCGTGACCACTACACCCAGGCTCTCATGAGTTTTAAACCTGAATGTGAAAAGAAAACCAAAAACCTTCAACTTTCCCCACAGGAAGAAATGTGTGTCCTACTTAAGTAGGACACACATTTATCACAGTAAGGAAGTCACACTGGGCCGGCACGAGGAGGGGTGCCACCCGACCAGACAGCAGGAAGCCAGTGACAGACCATCAACTCTAGGGACGCATCACGAAGGACACGCAGAACACGTGACACGAAACAGCACTCGCAGCTCTCGCTGCCAAGCACCATGGGCACAGGCAGCAGCCTGCCAGCACCTGGAGACCGAGTCCTCGCAGGACTGTCATTCCAGCAGATGACCGACCCATGGCCCAGCAGCTCCACTTCTCACGAGCCCAAGGGACCCTCACAGGCAGGAAGCTTCACTGCAGCAGGAGGTCACTGTGTCCCCATCAGCAGGGAAACTGCCTGGCACCTCCCGTGGCCACCAGGTGAGGGGAAAATGAAGCAAGTCTCAGAGGGCTGAGCACACACCCTCAGGCCTGGTGAGTCTCCCAGGGCGTGGGGCACCTGGGGGCGTGGGGCACCTGGGGGTGGGTCCCTGCATGCTGTACCCATAGGAGGAGAGCAGGAGCGGGGCCTCCCCACCACGGCTCTGGCAGTGGAGATAATGCTGCCAAGACCAGGGGTCAGAGGAGGGCGTCAGCCACAGCACACATGGGTGAGTGCACATGGCCGTGCCACCCACAGGGTCCTGCCCCCTCTGTGGGTACAGGAGGAGCTGGGGTCCCATCTGCATCAGTCTCTAAGAAGGCACAACTCTGTCATCGCCATGAAATTCTAGAGACATCCTGGTGTCTAGCCTCACAGCAGTATGGCCCACGTGGCCACTGCAGGGCCACAGAGCCCTCAGTGGAGTTGGGGTCTAGGCAAGCACTGTGGCCGCACCAGGAGAGCAGGCAGACAGCCAGAGTGGGCAGCACAGCCATCCACACCGCCCACAGACCTGCCGCCTGACTCCCCTGACGGGCCCCTCTCCCCAGTAAGCTGGGGGCAGTGCCCCTTCCTCCACACCACATCGTCCACATCGTCCTCCCCTCCATCTTGGGTCAGGCTGCCATCAGACATCTGGGGTTGCTGCTCCCTCTCCTCCCCGGCCCCCACCCACTGCCCAGGATGTGAATCGGGCAACCAGAGCCGGGCTAGGCCAGGCTGAGTGCTCTCCAGCCAGGGGAAGAGCTGGGGCAGCAGGGACACTCACTGGAGAGCACAGGAACTAGCCTCCTCCAAGAGGAAGGACGGTGAGTGGTAAAACCACGAGCAGGGACCACACAGGTAAGGACAGTCCTGACCTGAACCTGACAGCGGTGTGGGTGCTCAGCTAAGGCTGCACCAAGGACATCTGCCTACCACCTCAGACAGCCCCTCTGCTGGGACAGGACGAGGCACTACCCCTTAGCCTCCTGGGAACTTTCCAGGACTGGCCCACACAGCAGCTTCTGTGGGTACAGGCACAGGAGCAGGGCATACAGGTAAGTGCAGAGCCCCAAGGCCCTAGAGAAGGTGTGAAGTTGCTCTGGTAGAACAGGCAGGGACGTCCCTCTGCTGCCCTGATTCATGACAAGAACCAGAACAGACAGATGGTGGAGCCAGGGCACAGGACTGGCTGTGTCCACCTGGGCACTGCAGACCGGATGCCCCAGTCCAGAAAGGGACAGGTTCTCTGCTCAAGGAGCTCAAGTCAACTCACAAAAATGATGACACAGAACCAGGTGCCAGCGCCCCTGAGGGTGGGCTCTCATTGCTGTGGGCAGACAGATCGAGAGGCCAGGAGCAGGAAGGAAGGGCCTGAGGGCAAGCCAGCCACCTCCACTCTCCCTGCAGAGCCAGGAGGACAGGGCGGGGCCTGGCTCTGGCTGGAGACAGCCACAGGTGAAGGCCAGAGAAAATGCAAAGTCTGCCAGCAGAGGGTGTGGGAATAAATACTTTAAAACTTTTTCTCTTATAAATATGCATTAGAACATTTGTAACTCCATCTAAGGGCTCTGGAGTTGACCTAGAACCAGTCCCCCTGCAGTGCAACCCCAGGGTCGCCCACCCTCCCCTCCCGCAGTGCTGGTGCTGTGCTTCAGTCTGGCGGCACCTTGAACTGGTCCTTCTCCCTGCGGATGTAGCGCATGGTGGCCACGGGGTCAGTCTGGCTGGCATGTTGCTGCACCGTCTTCTCCCTGTGGGGGTGAGAGGCATCTGTGAGCTGCCGACTGCCCCAGCACACAGCCCACTGCCCCCAGGGCACCCAGAAGAGCTGGGGTTCTGTGGCGAGGAAATTGGCAGGTGTTTCTCCACTGCAGGAGATCGTGCGGCTGCACCAGGTCCTTCCAGCACCATAGGAGGCAGGAAGCCACCATCTCCACAGTGTCCTGCACTACCCAGGCCTCCAGGCCCATGACAGCATCCCTGGCCCCAGGGTCTTGGAACCCCACACCCTTGCCAAGGTGCCAAGGAAAGCTCTCACACTTGGGAGAAGTTGCAGCCCTGCTTAATGATGCCCATGGGGCAAGCCTACCATGTGGGCTCTGGGTTGGGGTCAGCTCTTGCTGGCACAGCCACATGGGGGACCACTGTGCCCACTCACCTCACTCTCATAAAGGGGTTGTAGGTGAACTCCTCGGCGATGGTGGATGGCACCGTGGGCTCCCCAGTGGCATATTTCTCCTGCAAGAGACGCCACTATCACACTTCAAATACCCAGTGGTGATCTTCAAACCTGGTCCAAGCGAGAAGGCCCATCGGTGTGGTCACTGCAGACCACAGGCCCCGACACACATGATCCAAGGGGGAGCTGCTGCCAGCCTGCATGTGCCCCTGCTGTCGTGAGGGAGCAGGGCAGAGGGGAAGCTTTCTCTTTCACACAGCAGAGGCAACAAGCAAAAGCACAGAGAGAGGAGTGGGCTGGCTGGGGTGTGGCTCAGGGTGGAGCCGTGCTGGGCACGCAAGAGGCCCTGGTTCTACCCCAGCACTGCAAAGAAGAAAAGAAAAAAGGCCTAAAGTCCCAGACCCCAGAAGTCCCAGACCCCAGGCCCCATGTAGGAGCTGTGCAATGAGAGCACAGAAATGCACAGTCCCTAGGAGGAGGGGTGAGCAGCAGGAGGACAGGAGCCACTGGGGAAACTGAGGCAGAAATGTGTTCTTCAAAACAATCAATGAAATCAATGACTGGCGCATAGAGAGAACTGCCAGAGTCAGGTGGCAGAGGGCCACTCCCGATCCGGCAGGCCCTGGGGGGGGGGGGTAAAAGCTAAGCTATGAAACTTCCAAAAGACAATGTGAAAAAAAAATTCCTAACCTTGGGGTAAGCAGATATTTCTTTTTTTTTCTTTTAAAGAGAGAGAGAGAGAGAATTTTAATATTTATTTTTTAGTTCTTGGTGGACACAACATCTTTGTTTGTATGTGGTGCTGAGGATCGAACCCGGGCCGCACGCATGCCAGGCGAGCGTGCTACCGCTTGAGCCACATCCCCAGCCCCAAGCAGAGATTTCTTAAAGACAAAAAGTATGGCTCAGCCAGGTGCAGGCAGGAGGCGGAGGCGGAGGATGAGGCTGAGGCTGGAGGCGCACAAGTCGGGGCTAGCCTGGGCAACCGCAAGACTTGGTCTCAAAAGAACATCTAGAAAGGTGATGTCGATGAGTGGGAAAGTACCCCTGGGTTCGATTCTCAGAACTTGAAAGAGAAACAAAAGCCATCCTGGTGTTGCAGGAATCATATGGGAACGCACTGGACGCACAGAGCCAGGAGGCTCGGAAGAGGAGCAACAGATGGACTCCACCAGGTTTCAGGCCTTTCCGTAAGACTGGCCTTGGATGCTGCTGATGCAGGGAAAGGCCACACAGACCCGGCGGAGGCAAGGGTGCCTGCGAGGACATCAGCATTTTCCTTTAGGTGCCAAGGTGATCCAATGAGGAAAGGACTGCTTTTCAGCCACTGAATGACCAGACACCCATGGAAAGACACCTGCCCCTCTGCCACTCCCAGCAGCAGCTTGGAGCGCACCCTGCGCAGTCCATACAAATGCCAAAGCCAAGACCAAAACTCCAGGAGAAAACCATCTTTGTAACCCAGGAATATGCAAAGATTTTGTAGGAAACAAAAAGTGGAACTTCACCAAAAGTATCAACTTCTGTTTTTCAAAGGAGTCTGGGGAAAACGGGAAGCCACCAACTGGGAAAAAATATTTGAGCCATATATTTATATTTGACAAAGACACTTATGACTCAATAAGAGAACCCGGTGTTTAAAACAGACACGAGCTGAACTTGCCCTCACAAGAGAGGGCCATGTGGAAAGATGGCCAGCTTCCCTGTCATCAGGGAAATGGAAATGGCAGAAGCACAAGGTCCAGACGCACACCATCAGGACAACAAGACCCCAAAGGGCCAGCAGTGCCCACAGCTGGTCAGCACAAGCGCGATGGAACACCTAAGCTTCCAGAGCCGGGGTGTGAAATGGGGCGACCATTCTAGCAAACAGCTGGGTGGCTTCTTCAGAGGCAAAGAGACATTCAACTACATGACCCAGCAATCCACTCTCATCTCCCCAAGGGCAGTTAAAACATGGACCCACGCGAGACTTGTACACCAACTCTCTTGGTAGCGCCACTCAACTGCAAAACCTGGAAACGGCCCAGGAGGCCATGAATAGGGGATGGACAAACAACTGCAGGATCCATGCAGTGGCCACACAGAAGCAGGCCAACAGGGACCTTCGAAGCAGAGCAAGAGGACACACACTCTCGATGACAGTCTGCTATGGGGGCAGAAAGCACACCCAGGGGGCCTTCCGGGGAGCAGCGTGCCACGTCTGCAGCGCACGCTGTCAAGTTCACCTAACCAGACCGGCCTCTTGAACCAGCACTCTCCTGTAAGTGGGTCATCCTCTATGTCTGGTTACTAAGAGGCAGGAGGCAGATCTGCCTACATGTGAGAGGCCTTGGGTTTGACCCAAGCACCTGGATATGGGCACTGGCACATGCCTGTGTGTCACCTGATCTAGACCGTGTGTGATTTTGGAGCACCTTGTAAGTTCCCCCAAACTGGAAAAGACGATGGACAAACACAAGACCTGTTAAGAACAGAGTTGCAGGAGGTGGTGGCCCCTGGACTCAATAGCAGCAGGGGCCTCGCCCAAGTCCTGCAGGGGCACGTCTCTCCGTCAGGGCGACAGCCTGATACTCAGAAGAGGCCCTTGCTCCTGGCCCCTCACCCCTGCCCACTGCGCTGGGGTACCCAGGGCCACCACTGAAACACACCCTTCCACCTGAGGAATCCAGGGGGCCATGTCTGCAGGGAGGTCCCCCACGGCCGACTCTACTGCTCTGAATGGCAGCACTGGTGTTACGCAGGCCTCCGAGGCCCATGCAGGCTGCCGAGGCCCACACAGCCCTCACGTGCGGCAGAGGCTGGACGGCACAGGCTCTCAGTGCCCAGCCCCAGGAACCCGAGGAGCACTACAGGACGACTGGCCCAGCCGTGGGTACCAGGCACTCACCTTGGCCCAGGCCAGCTTCTCCAGAACAGCAGTGTTGCTGGGCTCCACGTGGCGTGCGAACTTGAGGTTGCTGATGGTGTACTCATGGCCACAGTAGACTTTCTGAGGAGAGAGCAGCACCCGAAAGGAGGTGATTGCCACCCCTGAAGGTCACACCCACTTCCCCACCTGGGCACCTCACAGGGCACATGCAGCCACTAGGTACCCACAGGACCATCCCTCAGGGCTGGACGCTTCCTACACATGTCAGAAACCACTAAAAACTCCACTAAGGAGCTGCCCCTGCCTGCTTGCTCTCCTAGCACACAGGTGGGGCCTGCACGGGGAGACTGCACAGGAATCCTGTCACCCATACAAATGGCAGTTCTCCTGGGGCGGGCCTAGGACTTGGGGTCCCACAGGATGGGGGCACAGCCTACTGTGTCTGGAGGGAGCCGGCCCAGGACCTCCAGCAGCGCTCTATACATCTCTTCTGCAGTCCCTTCATAGAACTTCCCACAGCCGGCCACAAACAGGGTATCACCTGGAAAACATGGCCACCTGAGGGGGCTGGCTGGGCCTTGGGAAGTGCAGGTAGCTGGCCACAAGCTGGGCTGCTGGCCACGAGCTGGTTGCGGGCCAAACCCCACGGCCTTGGCTCGCTGAGCCTCGAGCTCCCCACACCGTCTGTCCCTGACCACAGCCTCTGCCACGTCCATACAGACCCAGGAGCCACCTCCATCCAACCCAGCACAAGACAACTCAGAACTCTTGTCTTTGCCCCGAACTCTTTGCCTCGCGTCTCAACTGGCACCGAAACCAATGTCGCCTGGACCCCACCCTCCAGCTCCCAACGCACCATGGCTCTGGGGCCCTCCCAGCCCACACTGCAGTTGCCTTTCTCAGGCCTCCTCCTTCTGACCCTCCCCTCCCTTTGCAGCTGAGAGCACCCAGGGTCTTCTGCCCTGCAGGCCTCGGCCCAACCACCTCTCTTCCCTGCATACCTGGGCCCTGCACCCAGGCTGGCCCACCTTGTAGGCACCATGGTTTGGCACTGACCACTCCCACCAAGTGCAGTCCCACCATTCAGAGCAGTAGAGTCGGCCGTGGGGGACCTCCCTGCTGCCCCTCCATGGCAGGCATGGCCCCCAGATTCCTCAGGTGGAAGGGTGTGTTTCAGTGGTGGCCCTGGGTACCCCAGCGCAGTGGGCAGGGGTAAGGGGCCAGAAGCAGGGGCCTCTTCTGAGTATCAGGCTGTCGCCCTGACAGAGAGATATGCCCCTGCTGTTGAGTCCAGGGGCCACCGCCTCCTGCAACTCCTGAGGCCTTGGCCTCACTGCCACAAGGTGGGTCCCAAACCCAGTCCCAAACCCTGGGCCCTCCCACAGACATTGACCAGGCAGTCCGCCACTACACCCTCCTCTCCACCACCCCTCATCACCCCTTGGCCTGAAGGGACCTTATCTCTAACTGCAGCTGCAGGGGACACCCACCACACCTGCTGTATCTGGACTGTCACCTACACTGATCCCTCCTCGGCTCAGCCAGGATGGAGGGCCCAGCATGGCTCCAGGCCCCACACGGGGGCCCATTGGACAGCCATTCCTCACCACCAGCCTCCCTGTCAAGGCCAGACAGCTCTGCCTCACCAGGACACCGTCCTGCTTGCCCCCGCTGGGGTGGGGCTGAGGCACTCAGGGTACCTGCCAACAGCTACACACAGGCCAAGGCACAAGAGCAGGCCACAGCCACCCTCCACATCACCCTCTAGCTCAGGGACAGCCTCATGAAGGGGCATCCCAAGACCACCATGCCCTCCTGATGTCTGTGACAAACCCAGGAGTTACATGTGGCCTTCCCAAGGGACAAGAGCCACGCAAGCTGGGGCAGCTGCTGTGAAGCCTGGCAGCCCGCAACAAGGGCCACACAGTCACCCAGGAATCCCATCCCATGCTGCCTCTCAGCACAGCCATGCGGCAGGTCTCTGTCCCCTGCTTCAGGGCTGGCCCAGAGCTGACATGGCCCAGGGTCCCTCCCCTACACCACACACTACATGTGGGGAATCAGGAATCTAGCAGCTGCATTTAAAAACAAGCGCAGAATAATCTAGAATAATCGTGGACCTTCAGGAAAGCCAAAAGACGGCAGATGCCCCTCTACCCCTCATTGGGCGCTTCCCTCAGCGCAAGGCCCACATCACCCTAACACCTCCGCCGCCGACGCGGCCGCAGCCCCACTCCTGGCCCCAGCCAGGCTCTATGAAAACCTCACTGTGGTCACAAAGCCAGGGCAGAAATCTCTGCAGGAACCAAGACTCAGCACCAGTCACTGACAGAACCAGAGACAGGGCTAACCAGCACCATGGCCACCCAGCGCTGGCCATCCAGGCTGCCCTGGCTCAGGCTCCTGAGCAGCACCATACTCTTGGCTTGGCCCCACAGTGACCCCAGGAGCCTGCTGTGTGCCACCCTCAGGCAGTATTGGCTGCATGGCTGAGGCCAGGGTGCCGTGCGTCCTCAACAGCAAGTGACACAAGCACAGGGCAAGATGCTCAGGTGTACCTACAGCCAATCCACATGCCCAGTGCAAGGAATGGACAGAGCCACCCCTCTGCCCTCCAGGGGCCAGGAGGACATGTCTCTATAGGCAGGAGCCCCCATAAAACCTGGCTGCTGCTCACGTGCCCAACTCGGTGGCTTCCATCACCATCTAGTCAGAAGATCTCAGTGTCCAGCACTGGAGGTCAGTATGTAGGACATCTGGATCAGACTGCAGTCCCACCATGCTCTGGGTCCAGCCTAGCCCAGCCCACAGGGCTCATCCAAGGGATGCAAAAGGAGCACTTGGCAGCCCTGGAGTCCCCCTCCTCAGGGACTCCCTGTGCCCAGGCCATGCCCACTTGTCTGTGCTGGAGGGCTGGGGTGTCCCTGCCAGACGGCCTTCTCAAAGTGAGGCCATTTCCCCAGCACCTGACAGCAGCAAGCATGGCGAGGATCTGGTCCTGAAGGTGTTCCCACTCCCAAGCACCCATTGGCAGCCCAGAATGTTTGGAGCCCAGCCTAGGCTCCACCCTGAGGGCTGTAGTCTTCTGAGCACTGAACTTAGGGCCAGAGAAGTAAAGTGGTCCCTGCAAGTCTGCCTGGTCCCTCCTCACTCCTCAGGCTCACCTGTGAACACAGCAGGGGGATCCGGACCACCAGGCTTGCTCACCAAGTAACAGATGTGTCCTGAAGTGTGGCAGGGGGTCGATAGGCATTTAACATGGAGACTCCCCACCTGAAACAGCAGGCATCAGCATGAGACCCCACGATCCCTCTTTCCAGGGGGTCAGGGGCAGGCGGCAATGCTATTTTCACAAGACCCATCCCCAGCACCCAGCCTGCTCAGACCTTGTGCTCCACAGACATCTGCAGAGCTGCCCACATACAGAGTAGGAGATCCAGGGCAGGGGCAGTGGCTAAGGGACTCCGTCCTGGGGCCTAGCCCTGCATGCAGGGACCACTCTGGAGTGATTGCTCAAGGGCAAAGGGGCTTATTTTGTTCAGACCTTCAAAACCAGGCGATCTTCCAGGGAGAGCGCTCTCCTGCCACCCACCCCCCAGTTCCTAACTTCAGAACAGTGGGATTCATGGCAAAGCCAATAGGGCAAGACACCCGCAGGAGTTCCCATCGGGACCTCTGGTGTCCACTCTCCACATCGGTGTGGGCACTCGCGGCTGAGCTACTGGAAGCTGTTTGGATCCTGGCACCCCTCCACACAGCCCATCATCATGCATCCAAGACAGCTCCATGGACGCCGAGTCCCTGTGGCCCAGGGCTGTGCTCCACAGCCTCCTAACACCAGGGACACACTGTGCACACACTGATTTCCTGCTAATTCCCGAGAGGGAAGACTGTCCAAGGGCAGACAGGCTGGGGCAGGCACAGGGAGCCCCAGGCCCAATCCCAACGACGCCCAGCCCTAGCACCTTTCTGAAGATCCTCCCTACCTGCAGAGTGAACAGGTGCGTGACTTTGTGAGTCAGGGCCCCGATACGGTCGTCACCCCCATACACCTTCAGCCCCGGCTCCAGCTTGACCAGCTTCTCGTTCCCGCCAGCGTGGTCCCTGGAAGTTCAACAGGAGGCTGGGCTACCTGCCGGGTGCAGAGTCTGCCTGCTGCCTTTACACCCCGACCAAATGGAAGTTCCATTTTTCCAGGTCTGTTCCTCATAAGAAACATACACCTTCCAAAACAGGAAAGGCTCCCGTCTGTGGTTGGGCTGCACTGGAAAACCTCTTCAGACACCCAGTTCATGAGCAAGGCACCCTGTGCCCTGCCCATTACTGCTGCTGAAGCAGAGGAACAAATCACCTGGATGACCCCTTCCAAGGCACTGGGGCTCCACTCCCAGCCACCTTCAGGTGCCACTGGCCTGGGCAGCCGGGGCAGTTGTTCTGGAGGTTCCCCAGGTGATTCTAAGGTGCACCGAGCTCAGGAGAGCTTCCTGAGGAACCTCTGGCTCTATCTGTGGGCAGGCCAGCCACAGTGCTAGTAGTAACAAGCTGGAGGACCTCCTGGCACTCCTCAGGGCTCCCACGGTTCCCCAGAGTCCTCTAGCCTGCACTTGGCAAGGGGGCAGCAAAGGGTTCCACTCTGCACCCATCCCAGGCCACAGTGACCCCACTGGGAGCATCCCCATGCCTGGGTCAGACCTCACTCAAGGCTGGGGCATTTGCCTTCCCAACTTCAGGGAACATGGCCTCCTGATAGTCCAGTGGTCATCATCCCCACCTCGCTCCATGTCCACCTCAGAGTCCACACCCCATGAAGACTCCAGCACCCAGACAAGAATCCTCTGCCCAGCAGGCCCCAGGTAAGGGTGGAACAGCTGTCCAGCCCCCCTGCCCCCCACCAGCACCCAGGCCAGGGAGCCACCAGCTCCTCAAAATGCTCTCATCACTGATCTTTTACCACCGAGACAAGAATAGTGCTCCCTGCATGAGGAACAGGCCCATCCCCGAAGCTCCGTCCAGGGTTTGGTCCTGGCCTAAACTTGAGAGGGTGTTGGAGGAAGCCACAGCATACTGCAGCACCAGCAAGAGTCTCTTGGAGCGTGGACTGCCTGGCGCGGGCAGGGCGCAGAGTGGGAGGCCTCCAGGCAGCAGCACAGGCCCCAGCAGGGCCCTCAGAGGTGGGGGGGCGCCTGCAGCAGGGCAGCCATGGCACAGGGCATTCAGCAGCACAGGCCAAGAGTGGGGTGACTGGCACCCACCCTAATGCAGGGACCTCTTTGGGACTCGGAGGACCCTGGCCAAGGACTCTGCATCTGAGCCTTGTCCTCCACACTTGGCTTACATCAGCCTAAGCCCTGGGTGTTCAGGGGCCCCATCCAGGCTGAGATGCCTCAAGGAATGGGTTGAAGAAAAAGGCACTAGCTGCCCTCACATGGTCACTTGGAAAAGAAAATTAACAACAAAAGAAACATTTCTTCTACACTTTAAGGGCCTCAAAAGCTTCAAAAGACCAAAAAAGAGGGCTTTGGGTAGGCGACTCTACCCCAAAGACCCAAACACAGGCACTTTCCCCAGTTTTCAGCTTCCAAATATTAAAACAAAACAAACAGAAAAGCAAAAACACTCTTTTTTTTATTAAAAAACAAACAAACAAAAAAAAAAAAAAACGAGTGGCCGGACATTGTGGTGTATGCCTATAATCCCAAGAACTCTGGAGGCTTAGGCAGGAGGATAGCAAATTTGAGGACAGCAAGGGCATCTTAGCAAGATTCTTTCAAAATAAAAAAGCTGGGGATGTAGCTCAGTGGTAAAGTCCCCTGAATTCAATCCCCAGTACCAAAAAACAAACAAACAAACAAAAAAACACCAATATCTAGATTCTTTTCTTCCCTAACATGGAGGCCCACGTCCCATTTCAAGCCCAAGAGATATGAAAGACAGCCACTGGGCACCCTCCTGTGGTCCAGAAGCCAGACTCCTAGACACCATGAGTGAAGCAGCCCAGAGGACACAGGCCACAAACATCTCCCCAAGGGATTGCTCCCTCAGCAGACCCACCACCCAGGGCCCAGAGTCAGTGCCTCCCAGGCTCAAGGGCAAGAGGGCAGGAACCCTGCTGCCTTTTCTGAATCCTCCAGGGATCCATCCTCATGTGTACTGAGCCAGCCCCTGCCCTCCTCAAGTGAGTGACACACCCCCATTGCCACCACAGGCGCCTCCAGAGCCAGAAAACCAGCCTGAGGAGCCTAGCACTTACCAGTGGTGGTGTGTGGTGAGCACCGTGGTCAGCTTCACACCATACTTTCTCACGGTTTCTACAACCTGCAGCCACATGGGAGGCAGGACGGAGGCTGGGTCACACTCCTGGCCTGGCTTGCCTCCTGCAGGGTGGGTGCCTAACCCCCAGCCCAACCCTGCTGGCTGACCAACTCTAGGACAATAGAGGAAGATGGTCTTTTTCTCTTGATCAAGCTGGAGCTCTTGGTCCTACTCACCACCTCCTCAAATCCCTCCAGCTGAGGTCAGCCTCCCAGAGACAGCACCAAGGGGCAGAGGCAGGAGGAACAGTCATGTCCAAAGGACCCATGTACTTGCCACATGGGGCCCGTGGTCTTCTCCACCCCTCCTAATGCCCCCTTAAGAGAGTGGCTGGACACTAGTTTGCTTTCAAAAATTAAATGGGCTAATTTCCACTCATCTTCAGCAGAGCTACAAGGACACAGTGGCTCTAACCCATGGGGATGAAGACAGGGTACTGGGTGACAAAACACAGGGGCCTGGGCACAGCCTCGCACCTTCTGGGGCTGCACAGGGTCCACAATGGCAGCCTCCCGGGTGTCCTTGTCAATGATCAGGTACATGTAGTTGTCGGTCAGGGCAGGCAGTAGCTCAACCTTCATGGCGCTCTGTTCCACAGTCAAACTCTTCCTTAAATCTGTGTAATACAGGAGGGTTCCCAGCAGGGCTGGGCCTGGAGACACAGGATGCAGCCTCAGGTCCTCAGCCTAAGGGCGGGCACACCAAACAGACTTCAAAGGAGCCGCACCCCTTCCCACTCCAAATGAACTCAGGGCCTTGCAAAGCAAGCACTGAACTATCTATCTCCCCTGCAGGGTTTTAATTTTATTTTGAGAAAGCATCTTGCTAAGTTACTGAGGCTGGCCTGGAACTTGCAAGTCTCCAACCTCTGCCTCCTGAGTGGCTAGGAATACAGGCCTGTGCCACTCTTGCCCGTTTTTTTTCTGTGTTTGTTTCTGTTTTTGTCAGTATTGGAGATTGAACTTTGGGGTACTCTACCATTAAGCTGCATCCCCAGTTCTTTTTTATTTTTTGTTTTGAGACGGTTTCACTAAGGTGCTTAGGCTGGCCTTGAATTCGTGATCCTCCTTCCTCGCCTCCTAAGTTGCTGGAACCACTGTGTGTACTACTGCACCCTATTGCTCTTTGCTGGCTTTTTAGAGTTCCTCAGACAGAGAATGTCCTGGTTCAATCACATCCACAAGGCAAGTGTAGAAAATGACTCGTGCACACACTGGTGGAAATTAGCTTTCTCAGACTTAGATCTTTATTTTCTCTTGAGGGTTCTAAATAAGACAGAACTGCCAACTTGTGGTGTGATGCAAACCACTGTCAAACAGGACTACTGCTGACCCTGGGGAGTTGACTCAGGAAGAATAGGGGAAGGGGAGGCAGAAGAAGGGTACCAGTGCCCAGCTGTGTACCCTCCAGCACACCAGCTCACCTCCAGAGAGAGCTCAGTCCTATGCAGTCATTCACAGCCCTCAGGCCTCCAACTGGAGGAGAAAAGAGATTTGCTCCCAAATGGCAGGCACTAGAGATGTGGAGAATGCACCAGACACCACTTCCAGGGGGACAGATCTGGTCACAACCACTCAGGATTCAAGGGTGGGAGACACAGAATCATCATTGAAGTGAGCCACAGAACTCTGACTGGCTGGGCCAGGAGGCCACGAGAAGTGACAGGAACAAAAGCATCCTCCACTCAATGGACAGATGTCAAAGTACTTTTGGCAATGAAACTCCCATTAAATGTAAAAATACATGGGGCCCCAACACTTTAAGTCATACTTTTAGAGTAGGAAAATATAAGGAGGGACAGTGGGATTCTAGGTAGATGTTGCTCCAGGGGCCATCTAAATATGAGGTTAACTTTATTTGCCAGGGCCTGGGAAATCTTTCTTTCTTTTTTTTTTGGTGGTGCTGGGGTCGGAACTCAGAGCCTTGTGTGTGCTAGGCGAGTGCTCTACCACTGAACTCCAGTTCCCCTTCTGGACACACTATCTGGGAATTTTCCAGATTCATGCTCAGCAAAATAAACATTTTGTCTGATTATTTTTTTGTGACATTCTACTTCCCCCAAATCCCAGCACTATTCAAGCTACCAGAGGACATCAGAGTGAAAACAGGACTGGTTGGGGGGGATGCTCAACAAGGACCTATTTTTACCTATTTCCTGGTAGAACACTCCAGGCAAACACAGTGTCCCCGTAAAGGAACACTGTTTATGGCCGGTGTTCAACCTGCTCTAGACACACACATATCTTGTTGGCAAGTTGAAGAGCATGCGTTTATTCCTAAGGAAGGAGTTCACCAGGCACCGGCACCACCAGAAATCCTACTCCTTTTCCACAAGTACCGCTCTCCCAACACTGCCTGGAAACCGCTTCCAGCTCACCGGTTTGCACCTGGAACGTTTTGCACGAGCAGAGGTCACGGGCTACAGCCTATGGTCTGCGCCAAGTCCGAAGACATGTTTTGTGTGGCCCACAACATACTTGAAGGCGTTTCCCAATACCGCCTCTCTGCACCTGTGCGCACCTGCCGCCCCAGCGCATGGGTTAGGGGCTCCGATGCAGCGCTCCGGGGACACCGCGTCCCAGAGGTAGAGACTGCGTCCTGAAAACCTCAATGGGCAGGCTCCTTCCTTAGCAAGGGTGTGTCACGCACTGTGGACCTGGGCGGCTGCCGCGGGACTGGGACTCGGCTGGCAGGCTGTTGGCCACGGCGCGGCGGCCCGCGGTCGCCAGACGCCGAGAGGGGAAGATCTGTAGGCCAAGGCGCCAGGTAGGCTCGCCCGCGGGCTAACGCAGGCAGGAACGGTTGTGCCCACACCCTCACCACGCCCGGCCCCGCCGAGGCCTGGTGGCCGCGTCCGCTCCTCGCCGGACCAGCAGTCTCGGCTCCTTGCCCCGGAGACGGCGTCGGCGCGCCCGACCAACGCCCAGCACAGCGGCGCCCCGGCCCACCTACCAAGGCCGCGGCGCGCGCAGGCGACTCCCAGCGCGGCGAGGCTCCGGCAGCCGAACAGCCTGCGGCCGAGCACCATGACCTGCAGGGCTGCACTGCCCCGCACCGGACCGCAACGCCGGCGTCGGCAATTGCAGCCAATCAGCTCCCTTTCGCACCACTCGACCCGCCCCCACCCAACAAGCGCCGGCCCTGCGCCGCTTCGTCTCCAAACAGGTCCCGACTCTCCCTGCCCCGCCCCCAGCCAACCAGCACTTGCCTCGCCCCGCCCCGCCCCCACCTCAGCCAATCAGCGCGCTCCCTTTCAACTTCTTCCCTCCCCGCCGGGCTGCTGAGGGCCGGAGGCGGGCCCGTGAACCGGTGCCCGAGGTAGCTGGGAAGTTGTGTCCGGTGCTTCCAGTCTCTCTGGGGCCTGGGCCGGCATCCTGACGTAGCCACCGGGCGCGCCCCGCAAGAGCAGTGCAAGGTAGGATAGGGCGTCGCCGACGGGACAGCGTCCTGAAGCAGCGCGTTCCCTCCAGGCCGCCGTAGGCGCCGGAGCCGGTGGCCACGTGACCTAGGGCTGCGCCATGGCTGCCCCGAGGCCACTGTCCCGCTTCTGGGAGTGGGGGAAGAACATCGTCTGCGTGGGGAGGAACTACGCGGACCACGTCAAGGAGATGCGCAGCGCGTTTCCCAGCGAGCCCGTGCTCTTCCTGAAGCCGTCCACCGCTTACGCGCCCGAGGGCACGCCCGTGCTGGTGCCCACCTACTGCCGCACGCTGCACCACGAGCTGGAGCTGGGTGTGCTCATGGGCAGGCGCGGCCGCGCAGTCCCGGAGGCCGCCGCCATGGACTACGTGGCCGGCTATGCCCTGTGCCTGGACATGACCGCCAGGGATGTGCAGGACGAGTGCAAGAAGAAGGGGCTGCCCTGGACTCTGGCCAAGGGCTTCACGGCCTCCTGCCCGGTCAGCGCCTTCATCCCCAAAGAGAAGATCCCTGATCCTCACGCCCTGAGACTGTGGCTCAAGGTCAATGGGGAGCTCAGGCAGGAGGGCGAGACATCCTCCATGATCTTTTCCATTCCCTACATCATCAGCTACATTTCTAAGATAATAACCTTAGAAGAAGGAGATCTTATCTTGACCGGGACGCCAGAGGGAGTTGGGCCAGTTAAAGAAAATGATGTGATCGAGGCTGGTATAGACGGGGTGGTCAGTATGAGGTTTAAGGTGGAAAGGTCAGAATATTAAGTACACAGAGCGCCTTCGCTTCCTGTCAGGAGGGAGAGAAGGGAGCAAGACAAACAAGTAAAGGTTATTAAATGTGACTATCTTTTAATAGAAACTATTTCTAAAGAATGATTCGATTGGGTTGCTAAACCTCAGTCAAGAAAAATGGACCCTTTGGAAAAAACATGATCTGGATAAGCTGGGACAGAATTAGAAACAACCAAAATAAAGTGATGCTTTCCACCAGGAGAATGTATTGAACCAAACCTTCAGAGGTCTGTTTCCTGAACTGAATAAGACTTTTCAGTGAGTCTTTCCGGGATCAGTAGTTTAAGACTTAATATCTGCGAAATCATGTTCCAAGTTCCTTGGGACTTGACAGTCATCTAGAGGCATGTGTGGAAATAAAAATTCCCAAATTTACTGTCCCATTCCAGACTAGCTGAATCAACTAATGGAATTAATCTCCAGGGAAGCTTTTTACAGAGCACTCCAACTGATTCTTAACAGGGAAACATGAAAAATACTACTACTTGTAATCAGTTAACTTAGTTTTATTTGTTACTGACCAGTTGATGAAGACTGCTCCTGTTTACTTTAGGTATCTATACTGGTCTATAGATTCTAAGTTTGGGAGATGATTTTGAAATTACTGTTTCCAAATAAATGTGCTGTATTTGGTGTGGACTAAAAGTGTACTTGTTTCCCTAGCAGGGCTTCACACCTTGTTCTTTGACCTTTCACCTCCTGAACACTGCTCTAATGATTAACTGGCACCCCCACCTCCCACTTCATGACCAGAGGAGGAGGCTACAGAAGTTGAATGATCTGGGAGTGCTACTGCACCTTTTTGGATGAGCAAGGCAGTATGCACAGCATGACTTTAATAAGGCCCATGGAGTCCTCTAGGGTTAAACCGGAGGACTAGTGAACACAGAAGGTATTGGCTGATCCTTGGGGAAAGTTTAAGACATCTACTTTAATAATAATTTATTGAGCACTCAGTACTGTTGGGTATTATGCCAAGCATTATTTCATGTTCACATGTGACTGTCAAGATGTGAGGATGGTATTATTGCTACTATCCCTGTTGTACAGACAAAGACAAAGATTTAGAGGCTAGGAAGCCTGGCTAGGGTCACTCTGCTGAGTGGCAAAGCCAGGATGTAACCCAGATGTCCCAAGCTGAGAACTTGGAAGTCTTAACCACAATCAGGCTACATCTTGTATGTTTAAGCATATAAGATTAAAACATTTAGGTATTATACAATCCTCATGTTTAAGTTATAATTTATGAGGATGTTCCATAATAATTGAGTTTAAATGTCATGCTATCTTAACTACTTTTATCTTTTTAATTGTTTTTTTTAATTTCTTAGCAATGGATGTTTAATAAAGAATATGGAAAACAGGTAAGCAAAAAAGATAGTACATTTTCCTACCCAGAGAGAGCCAAATTAAATGGTGTATATTCCAAATCTGTAAATGTACTTCTTGAAACAGAATTTGCTCACAACATACAATTTTCTGATTTGCTTTTTGCACTTTCAATGGTGACTGTCCTTTTCTATATCAATGAAGACATTTCTGCAGTACTGTTTTCATTGATTATGTATGATTCTAAGGTTAGGCTTCTGGTTTTGGACATGGTGAAATCAGCATATTTGTTAATCCCTTTGGCTAGGTTCCCACAAGTGGAAGGGTCTGGTCAAAGGGTATGCTCATGTCAGTCTCGCTGGCAGATACAAGGTTCAGTTGGAATGTGTCCACCAAGTCAACAGACATAGAAGCAAGCTGATGGCTTAAGGTGGGAACAGTGCTCACATGTTACTCCTGGACCAGCACAAGCCAGTGCCCCTGGGGCAGTGTTCACCAAGTAGTGGAGCAAGCCTTGCCACAAATATCTGACATAAGCATTGAAAGCACAGCACTTAGTCTTTGGATGTAAGAATCAAAAACTGAGTGGTAGTGGGCTGGGGTGGTAGCTCAATGGCAGAGTGCTTGCCTTGCACGTGTGAGGCCCTTAGTTCAATCCTCAGCACCACATGGAAATACATAAAATAAAGGTTAAAAAAAAAAACTGCCTAAATCCTATAATTTCTGAGATTACTAAAGGAAACTTAACACCCAGAAGGTACATTTTTCTTCAACTTGAAATAAATTTAGACCTACAAAAAAGTTGAAAAGCTAATAACAAAACCTTTCACTAAATTCAACAATTATCATTTGTTAATCACACTTAAGAAAATAATTACACAGTGTATTATGTAATGTATGCTTTAAAAAGCCAGGCATGGCTGGGCATGGTGGTGCACACCTGTAATCCCGGTGGCTCAGGAGGCCAAGGCAGGAGGATTGCAAGTTCGAGACCAGCCTCAGCAAATTGGCGAGGCCTAGGCAACATAGCAAGACCCTAAGACCTCTGTCTCAAATTAAAAAGTAAAAAAGGGATGAGGATGCAGTTGAGTGGTTAAGTGCCCTGGATCCAATATCTGGTACCAAAAAAAAAAAAGAAAAATCTTTTGCACAGAAGCCTGGGATCCTTTAGGGTACCTAGCAGATAAAAACGTGCCCTGTGCTCCTGTCATGTATAGAGTATGGAGCCATATGCCACCCCAGCAGAACCTGCAGGGGAATCCTAGGACCCCCCCCCCCCAATTTACAAAAAGCAATGTGAAACCTACAAGTCAAAAGAGGCTACTCTTGGAAAGAAGTTCCTGAGGGGTACAAGGGAGTTGGCAATGAGATAGGGGTGTACTTGAGTTAACGTGGAGTGGAGTGTGCATTTCTTCTACTTGGTTTGGTGCCTGCATTCTGGCTAATCTACAACTGAATTTCAGGTATTGACTAGTTTGTAATCTTCGTTTTGTAAATGTGTAAACTTTTCAAAGCGCCTCTGATTTGGTGTGGCTTGATACTGAACTGGAAAATTCCTACATCATCAGATTAAGCCATCAAGGCTGTCCCTTGAGTGACAGGGGCAAGGGGCTTTCGCAGCTTGGTGCCCGTGGCGTTGAGAAGGTAAGTTAGAGCCCTCTGCTGGCCATGCTAGGTTCAGCTGCTGGGAATAGTATTTCCCTTGCGCCTGTACTGGGAGCCTCTCTTCCATGCAGTGGAAACCAGTGATGAGACAACTGGAGAGGCTCAGGCCCACAGGCCTTGGCTTGAGGCCTGGTGCTTCTTGACTGCTGTGGGAGGTCATCGCGCCAGGAAATGGCCCAGCAGCCCTGACACCACCTGGGCAGCACCTTCCTGCCTCCTGCTCCGGTGGGTGGGTCCCTGTTGGAGGGCATCCATGCCCACTCTTGCTTTACCAGCAGCCTCACTTCTCTTCCCTGTCTCCTCCACCACCACTCTTCATCCAGCCTTCCCTCTCCACCCTCCAAACAAACCCACATCTCCTCCCCACAGGAGAACAAGAGGGAGTTCTTCATCAGGCCCATTTTACACAACTAAGTCAAACCCTTTACTACCTCACTTACTGTCTGGAGTTGGATCCACTACAGGTCAACTGATGTCCTTCCTCTGTGACTGCATACAGTAAAAGCCAAAGAAAACCTTAAGACAGATCAGTTTATCTCCCAACACCAACTTGGCAAGTTGTATATACTCACTTTTGCCTTTCTATTCAATCCTGTGGTGGAGGATGTGTGGCCTTCTGAAGTGCCAAACCCAGTGAGGGGTAGTGGACCCTCCCAGGCTGTGGGCAGTGCCAGCTAAGATGGGGTCTTCACAGGCAGGGGCCGGAGCCTAAAGCTAGAAGTTCAGATTGGTGTGGAGCCAAGCAGTGTGCTCTGGGGCTCTTCAGGGAAAACAGGTCCAAGGTGGCCATGGCCTGAACGTCATGAGTAGGTCCCCCTTCAGAGCTCCTGGGTCTCAGGCACTGCTGCCAAAGCTTCTGAAGTTGGTCTCCTCCCTGCTG